GTGCCCAAGAGCCGGGGGAATCGGAGGAGGTTGGGCTCCGCCATTGCATTTTAAACGCTAATTTATTGTTAACTGCACCAAGTTGCCGGTATGCAAAAATGTTGCCCAGCATATGCAATTAATTGTAACAAGGCCCGCTAGTCATTCGGCCAAGCGAGAAGGCCTTAACGAGGCTGAGACAGGGGTACATTTAGAGAAAAGGGTGTGAAAAGAGGGTCGTATTTGGTAAGAAAAGGAGATACGTTTACGTGCTAAATTTATAGTTCTGAAAAAATTAACCTTTCACTTAGCGCTGAACCTAAATTCTTATAGGTACTTCAACAGGTATAACAACTGGAGATTCCCTTGACTTATTATTCTTATATTAAGTACCTAGATCTCTTAGTGGTATCAACAAAAGCAATCAAGGTTTAAAACATATTACTCGAAATTTTTTTTAAAATTTCCTTATGAATTTAGAGAATTTTAATGAGGATAATTAAAATAAAATCAATCATTATTAAGTAAACATGTAATTACAATTTAGTCCGGGCGAAAGTCTTAGCAACTATGGCCGATTCCTCCCTGTACCTTAAGTTTTAAACTTTTGGCAACAGAGTACAATAAAAATCAATCATAATATAGAAAATAGTAATTCCAAACTTTTCAAGACTTTTAAAATAATTAAAAAAAACCATTTCAATTAATTTGTTTTCGGGTTTCATTTTGATAGGACAGGGAGAAAACGTTAAGTTATATCATATTTTGAATTTAATATTTTTGTTAACAATTTGTGGCAACCTGCTAGCTCTGACTTTTGATCTTGTTTTTCTCTCTGCAGGTTCAGCAACTTAAACTAAATCTGAAACGGAGACAGGGCATTTGGATTGGCAACACTTTCCAACTGCACTGGAACGCGTGTTAACCCGCTGCAATTTACGTGTTAATTTGGAGTCGTGTCTCGGCAAATGTTTGGCTGCTGCCCCCGAAAGACTTCTGGCCAGTGCCGGCAGCCTCACTTTTACCCGAGCAAATTTCGGCGAAAGTTTTGGCCAAGTTAAGTACCTGGCCAGTATGCGAAGGTGGGAGCGTAATGCATGTGTTGCCGGTAATTGCCGGTGGGCAAATGCAGCAGCTCCAGCTGGCACAATGGCATTAGGCCGGTCCAATTCCGGGGAAAGCCGCCACTTACACACACACGAGATTGATATACAAATCGAATCGGTGCCCCCTTAAAGCCGCCATTAGTGGGGGTAAACAATTCGAATTGGCCGACTACCTACTACTAAATTTGCCACAAAACTTCAACTATTCACTGGCGAAACAAACTTGAAACAAAACAACACTTTGATCGCTTCGCATTTCATAAAGCTCGGCGAAATCTCACGAATCCACTCGCCAAAATCCAGAGGCAATAAGTTCTATGGCAACTATGCAACCATCAATCAGACCAACTCGCTCGCAACTATTTTTAAAATCAATAAATACCCATAAAGTTGTTGGCGAAACTTTGGCTTCAGCAATTCTATATAAGTACTAGCATTTATCCATCCAGCAGATGAATGCGGACAGGCCAACTAGTTTTTGAATACGAAAATGCTTACCATAGTTCGGCGAATGTTTCGAAAACTTTTACGCAAAATCCGTGCCCGAAAATGGTAGCCAGAAAACCGAGACCCCAAAAACCGCAAAACGCACAATGCCACGCCCCCAGCTCCAGCTACGGCCCCCTAGTTATCCATAACATCTGGCTCAGCGAAACTGCAGCTTGTTTGCGGTTTCAAGTATCTATCGGATGCAGTTGCGAGTGCGATGCCAAGATACTGTGAGCAGTACTTGCAGTTCGCTGGGCTTGTTTTTTTTTCCTTTGGCGGTAAATAGTTGAGAGTTGAGAGTCGGGAGTTGAGAGTTGAGCATGTTGCAAAGCCTGTCGCTGCGGCCTGGCTAACACACACACCGACGACAAATCATTGGGCTTTATGACACTGGCAACATGTGTTGCCGCTCAAAATATTTAACCGCAGCAAAGCTCTTCGAAAATCAGCAGCTACATTTTGATTAATGGCAGCATTCAGCGACGTACAACTGCATGAGCGTTTTCAACTGCATGTATCCATCAGATACGTAGTTTGTCAACGACGCTTTCCACCGACATAATCATCAATTAATGCGCTATTAATAGAGGCTTTTCCCCTCATTTTCGAAAAGGGGATGGGGGCCTAACACTTAGGACCCGACATGTGTTAGTGTCAACTTGATTGAGCTGGGACCCCAAAAAAAACTTAACAAAGAAAAGTTGTAGAGAAATGGGCAAGTTGAAGAAGAAATACCCTCTATATACATCAGTATAAACCATCCAAAAACTCTTTGGCTTACTAACCCTTTTAACTCAAACGTCAATCCTCCAACCCGTACCTACACTTAATTGCTGCCAAATTAGGGTGCCATTAAAAATTCAATTCATAGCCCAGTTCGATTTGAATTAATCAATCAAAACCGACATACTCTGACTTATAATCGAAAAAAATTCGAAGGTCGCGCCAGCTAATTTACTGGCCATAATTAGCATGGGCCAACGAAATGTTTGGGAACATTTTACAGTATTTCAAGTTGCTGCATTTGGTAATTCGATGGGATGGGCCGTAGATAGATAATTTTCCATGGCATTGCCGGAGTGAGTGTGTGGCATATGCATTAACCCCTTGATTTCGGGCTCTTAACCAGCACGCAACGGCCTTGTTTCGATGGCCAGGGATTTCTTGGCGGGGCGTGGTGCACTGAAAAAAATATTACCGGAAAAAATCCATAAAATAAAAAAAATATGTTCGGAATATCATTTTTGATGCAAATTGTTCTAATAAAAAGCAATATTATCAATAAGTCAAGAAACATTAAATACTTTAAAAATACTTCCAATGCCATGTTGGTAATGCTTTAGAAAATATAGTAATTCGAAAATTTCCGACATTATAATATTAAAGAAAGGTGACTTTCTAATAAAATACGATTTCGTACTAACTTTTTTATGGGACATTCTCAAGATACAAAAATATATCTAAGGGACCATATTTTAAGGTACCTTAATCCTTCAGTGTACTTGAGTATTTCTACTGCATTTTATTATCGTGGGTTACTTAACGAAGTTTTTTTTATAGTGTTTCCCTTGCGATTACAGTTGCAGTTGCTCTTAAGTGCGGTTCTGACCCGAAGTCTTCGAAAAGAATTCTTCATAATTAACCGGGAAGGGGCTTATAAACTGGATGCTGAATACTTTGTAGCATTTGCGGGGTGATCAGTGGATGCCATCATCATCGACCTTCCCCTGATTCTGTATGCAACCCAGCCAGCTGGGATGCCATGAACTTTGTACAAACACCGCACGCTCATCCTAAAGATGCAAAAACTTTTACATTTAACCGCATTTATGGGGCCGCTGCCAGCTGCTGCTTCTCGGGTTTGGGTTGGGGTTTGGGTATGGGTTTTGGGGGGCAAAAACCTTTGGAAGCTTTCGAAAAGATTTTCACCTTTTATATTAGATGCCGGGCGAAAGTTTATTGTTTTCCTCAAGTTCGCGCTAGGCAGGCGGCACTCCATTTCCAATACCGCTCGCTTTTCCATTTCCATGCGAAAGGATAAGCCAGGACCTCGGGCCAAAGGATGTGTGGGTGTGCGATATGTAAAATTGATTTGCCAGCACACCCAGTGAGTTGCTGCCGTTTGTTTGCTTTGTTTAGGGATAATCCCATACATTAGACCTGTGTAAGGGGCTTGTGTTTTTTTTTTTTGTATTTTTCCTCCGCTCCTATTTTATTCGCCCTGTGTGTTTTTTGGCTAAAAACTGATTCTCAAGGTATTTGTGCATTCCGAGAAAATTTTATAGCCATAAATGCGCCAGATTTGCGTTTACTCGTGAGGATTACGTCCCCATTCCCCCGAACGGGGAGCGAAACTTTCCGAATTCACATAAAATTAGCAAATATTACATTTGCGCCCGGGAAGAGCTCCCAAAAGGTTGAACATCCTTCTCGGCTCTCAGCTCTTGGCACTCAGCTTCTGTCTCCCGCAGCCGGACTCGAGTTTATTTTGTATATTTTAAGAAAACTTTTTTATTGCCGTAAACAAAGTTTGCCACGCAACGGGGAGTTATTTAACGGATATAACTAAAAAAAATGAAAGAAAGGAAAGAAATCCTAGCCAGCAAAAAGAACGTCTGAGGAATAAGTCAGCCAAGTGGAAAGGCTCCTTTCCTCCCGAAACCTCCACGATCCCTACTTTTGGCCCTGCTCACATGCTCGATGGCGCTGATTGACTTGCTTTTTGGGGGCAGGAGGTGGGCGTGGCCTGCATAAATGGGTCCCAGACAATGCCGCCGATACGCACGCAGATAGGTTAATGTTAATGTGTGCGGCAGAAAGTTTCCAGTTTGGCTGTTGGCAATTTACAGTTTATCGGTTATGTCATCTAAATGGGCGCCATGCGATTTGCTTCCCATTATCATTTACCGCAGATGATAGCGGATCGTGGAGGTCGGGAAAGTTGATATAACGACCTTATCAACTTGTGGGACAGAGTGGATAGAGTCCATTATCCGATGTTGGTCAAATAGAGTTGGGAAGTATTCAACTTTTGGGTCTAGACGTTTTTCAATTTCCGTTTCCGCTTTTTTAAAGTTCTTTGGTCATATTTATATTTGTATAGCACAAGTGGGTCGAAATATTATGAAAATAAATTGCAGTAAAATCTGAAGGGCCCAACTTATAAGTTTAACATTTTTCAAAGGATCCCTTGGATCTTGAATATATTTATCTTGTAATAGTATACACTTAAAGGTAAAGATAAATTTTTTGAAGTATTTTTAACGTATGCCTTAAATAACATATTCCAAAAAATTTAAGGGTCTAACCACTTTGACAAATTACGGATTAGTCATTTTCGATTTATACGCTTTTAAGACCTCTTGAAATAATTAGTTTTATTTTGTTAATGCATATTAAGAAAACTTAGACGCATAATTTTTCCCATATCAAAATAAATGAAGTAATTTAAAGAACCATTTTCTTCATTAAGTGTTTGATATTTCGCACCCATCAATCGGGACGCACATAATCACTCATGTGTCCACAGATCGCATCTCTGATTTATAACGACTTTAAGCAGAACATAATGCACTCAGACTTGGCATTATCTCGACTGCATTTGATGCAGCCCCGCGAGAAGAAACCAAATTAATTACAACAGTTTGTAAGACACACGCACAACAAGCTGGCCCCGTCCCCCGGAAAATCCCCGCTCCCCAAAAGTCCGCGCTTATCTGACGGTTTGCTTCCTCTGTTGGCCCTTGTGGGGTGTTGTTGGTGGCACCAGTTGCAGTTGCAGTTGCAGTCGCTTATGCAGTCGGATCTGTAGGGTCTGGATGCTAAGGTCTGGGCCTTTGTCTTGCACTTGCCATGCATCCGTCAACACAAAGTTGTTGTTGTTTTCCGCCAGCTCACGACTCCAGCGGACACAAAGTCCTTGACTTGCATTTTTGATAAACAACGTGTCAACTTTGTCGACATAAACCATAATCTTCAGTGTCAGTTTGACTTACAACTCGTGTACTTTTCACTACTCCAGCGACTGGTAATCACGTCTGGGTCGGGACTCAGACACTGGAACTTTGGACCGGCATCCGTGGGTGGAGGTATATGGAAGGCAACCTGAAAGTGAAGTAAATTCTTCTTAGTCTGGCAGCTGCGGGAGGAGCATTAGTATTCGGTAGTAGTTTGTTTTTCGGGGACGCGGGCACTCTGCCCTTCGATTAATAAGTGGCAACTGGCAACTGGCAACGGGCAAACTGCTCCTGGAGTGGAACCTACTCCCAGATCATTAGCGTAATTAAATGTGGATGAAAAATTTCACTTAATTTAGCGTGCGTCTCTGGCCTTGCTCATAACTCGAAAAACCGAAATACAATTAATCAGACGGAGGAGGCATGTGGCCGTAGAAGTCTGGGGCATGTTTCCCCTCCCTCGACGGCACCTAGGAATTAAAGTAAGTGTCGGGCGGTACGAACGAGAGACCCTGCCACATGACGCACGCACTTCTGGGACCCTCGACCACCGGACTCACCCATTTTCGCTGGCAGATACCCCCATTTCGATAGTCTGCCACTGGCGGCTACTGTTTCTTCCTCGGCCTCCGGATGACAACAGAATGTTGTCAGCTTAATTTTTTAATAACGCTAAATTTAGCCAACAGAGGGAGCAATGGAGCAACCGGGGGCAATCAACAAGTCCTGGCAGCCATGTAATTTCACTAAGTGCAAGAAGCCAGCGATGCGAGGCGTCTCCCCGCCAATCCCCTCCAGAATCTGGCCCTTTTCAGGTCCCATATTTTCCGCGAGTAGTGCGAATTTATCGTCACTTGCTCGAAGCGTGACATTGAAATTGTAAATTAGCAGGGCATCGGGAGGAGATGTTCTAGGGATGAGATTGCAGGTCATTTTGGCGCCAGGGAGTCGGAAAATTATGGATGGAAATGTTTTACCGGCAGCTGTAGATTATAGTGGTATCATCATTTCGACAAGATACAACGGATTTTTCTGGTGTGCATTTAATACAGTAGTTCACTATAGAAATGTCTGTAAAATTGAAGGTAGTCATGAATAATAAGGAAGGCAAATAAGTGCATTATTAAATTTGAGAATGTTGTACATCTTTAAAATAAAGAATTTCATAATAAAATTTAATATAACTTTAACAGGACCCGCTATAAATGAAAAACTAATCGAAAAATATATAAATTTTATATATAATCGTTGGATAGACCTCGTGTTCTTTTTAGTGTTATAATAAAAATCATAAAATTTGGTTGAAGATAAATTTAATGGTCTTGGGTTGCGCCGTTTCATTAAACTATATTACATAGGTCAAATATTTCACGTTGTAATTTTCTGGTTTTTCATATAGTGTAGGAAAAACAACCAAGGATTTTTTATTTTTTTACTTTATATATTGCGCTACTTACAGTTGCAGGCGATTATAGATCGAATGGGACAGCAGCTGGGGGAATAGATTTAAATAGAGCTAATCTAGGGTCTTGCGATACGAATCGGCCCGTGTAATCCCAGCTGATGACTGATGAGATGAGAGGCTATGCGATGACGAGGCGTGCCGGGCTCAATGGATGGATGGAAGAAGGGTCGCCCAGCGGAACCTACTGCAGACGGGACACTCGGCCGTCGGAGGCGAGTGCATTGTGCTCTGGAGTGCACTTAAAGGATTTTTTACGAGGCAGCGCGACGAAGGAGCTGAAACGAGCCAAGGCGGAATGAAAATCAACAAATGATGACAACTACCCGTCCGCAGGACCACCGGCTACAGCTACCCCCGATGATTTGGTTTTGGTCCTTCGCCGGGCTGCTCGCGTTTCGAGTGTGTTTGTCCTTTCAAAATGTTTTTCTTTTCTAGCGACTTGAGTGCTTGGCGTTCTCTACTAATTTTATTTCTGTACGCCCCGTGGTATCCCGATTCCTGTTGACAAAAATCTCAAATGTGTGCTCGACCGTGTGCCGTCTGTCTGCCATAATAACCATCCGACAATCCATCCATCCATTTATCCAGGTCCCTGCAGCGATCCCGAATGAGCAGGTAGTCCGTCATTGATTCCTATTCGCGCGTGTTTAATTCCCAAATCAGCGCTTCCAGATCTTGAGATCCTCGTCCTCGAAGCGCTGTCATCCGTTTGTTTGTTTTGTGTGTTTTTTTTATTTTTTATTATATCCAGGGTTTGCGATTCGCAGCGCTTTGTTCGGGGTTTTTTCGCTTTGTCTTGTTTTTGTGCGGCAGCCGCTGATCTTATCAACGTTTTGTTTCGTGAGGCATTAAAAATTTGTCATTTGTTCCCCATTGAGTCCGGGTTTTGTGTAAGCTCGATTGTCGCCCGACTTGTCATCGCATCTCCTCCATTGAGTCGGGCCAACTGTTTTTATTTTTCCTCGACGAGGGGCGGGGAAAAGGAAGCAGCTGGTGGACCTGGTCCGCTTGGCAATCGGATCGCCTCTCATTGGATCTTTTGCCTTTGAGATGCGGCTGTCCGAAGCAATTTGGTAATTGGTACCTCGAGGCGAGCGTTGAATTTCAAAATCGAAGTATCTTAACTGCTGAGCGCAATCCAATTTGGAATTTCCAGCATGATTTCATATGATTTTAAACCTCGAATTCATGCTGAGTACGTTGTATTTCGGTTAGATTAGATTGATTGCAATCAAACATTACCGACACCTTATTGGGCGGCATCCAACGCAATTGTAATCGGACTATAATCCCATAACCCACACACCTCATGGCCATTCGATTCAATTTTGCTGCACTGGCATTTATTGCCGGTAGTTTACCTCGCATCTGAACCATCCAAGCCATCCCATGCCGATGCACTTCTGTATTTGCAAATACTGATTATGTTTACATGCATACATCCAATGCCCAGTGTCCAAACAATGCTGGCAACTCAATTGTCCGGCCGGCACAATGGGTCGTATGCGTAATGCCATATGAGCAATGCTCCAGATGCGTAATGAAAATTGGCGCCGTCTGCGTTCTGTTGAGTTGAGTTGAGTTCAGTTGAGTCCAGTTGAGCTGCCAGGACAGAGGACTCATGTCCTGGCTTGAGTAGACAAAATCAATTTGGTTTTGCGGTTTTCGGGCTGGGCATATGGACGTCCAAAGGGCGCAATTGTCTGCCGGGCAGGAGCAATTTGCATTCCAGGACATGCAGGTCGCAAATGAAACCGATTCGGCGAACGGAACTGCATGGACCGGTGTGTGACCCAGCTGCATTTTAGTATAAATGCATCAAAGTCAAAGCAAATTAGGGGGAGATAGGGCCTCTATATGGCCCCCAATTTCCAGTGGAGGAGGCCTTCGAGGGGCTCATCGAAAGTTGTCAGCTTCAGCAAAAAGTTGTCTAAATAAAACTTATGAGACTTGGAAAACAAGCCGAACTTGGAATACATTTTTAGTTATGATCCAATGACATTATTTAAATGCCTATAAATAGCATATAAAAGCACAAATCATAATTATTTAAGAATGTTTTACTTGTAAATTTAATATGAGTTAGAAATCCATTATATCTTTTTATAAGATTTCTGACAATATCTTTTTAAATAAAAGTTTATATTTTCTTTATTTTTTCCCTGTGTGTTTAAGTATATATTATGTATAATCCAGAATTTTCGTGAGTACTTTCAGAACATCATCAGGATTTTCAGACTCGGATTTCAGAGCTCAAGCTCTCAATCTGTAAGGGCATCTCGAAAGAAATGTTCCAAGGCCTTTGGAGGGCCAAACTATTATTTGCAGTTGTCAGCCAACCACCTCCTCGACGAATTTTCTTGTGTTATTGAAAAACTTTTAGCAGCAGGCATGGTCCTGGGATGTCCGCAGAGGTCTCTCCATAGCCATGCTTCAGATTTAAATGAAGTGAAGTGAATTTAATGGTCAGCAGACATTTGTGCCTGGCCAACCAACTGTTTGCCCCGCTGGAGGGTCTGGATTTCGCCCACATCCCTCCTCATGGATTTCCTCCTTCAGTCGAGTGGAGTTTTTCGTATCTGTGCTATATTTGCATAGTATATGTTTCAAGGGCCTGTCTGTCTGCGTAGCGCACATAGAAGTTGGTTTGGTGTAACTATCAGCGCAAATGTACTTGAAAATTGTAATGAGCTCTAAGCTCGAGCGTCAACAACAAACAGTTTCAGTTTCGACCCGTTCCGCAGGCATCCATATGCCCGGATTATAGTGGCCAGAAATGCATGGTAGTTGGGTGGAGGACTAACAGTTTGCAGTTACATTTTAGAGTATTACATGCAAGTACTTTGGTTCGATTAAAGAGCGCTCAGAAGCTGTTCCAAAAGTGAAGAGAGTTGGAAATTTTTCGATTTCACTAAATGATGAAAGCACTTTTGCCTATTTCCCTTGTTATCGTATTATATTACACCCGGAAAAAAGTACTACTTTCAACTACCAAATTTGTTCTAAATTAAAAAAAATTACATGATAGCGAAAGATGGTCGTGTGTTCGGAACACTAATATTCCGCCTTTTTCTTTTTTTATTTCCAAAATTATACAGCAGCAAGAAAACCAAATACCACTGGTAACCTCAAGATACATTATAGCAATACTAAATTAATGGAAGATGGGCTAGCAGTTATGGTTTTTAGCCATATACATATTGCAAATTGTTATTATTCATCCTAATTCACAAGGGTCATCTTTTTCTGATTCGGTTTTGAGCAAGAGGAACCTGGCAAGTATCTTGTTTTTAGCATAGTGTGAATTTTAGAAACGCTAGGGTATAATCCTTTTATTGGCGATAATGTTCATGTCTTCAAGTATGCAGAAAGGGGCTTATCTTTTTGATATGTTGAATCCCACCTCTTTATGACACTTTTCCTTACCAGGTAAATCACTTGAGTTTAAAAAGTTATACTTATTTAATAAGGACATAGAAAAGTTAAGAAGTGAAGAGTTTTATTTTCGTTATGGATGGCTAATTGCTTCTAAATGTTTGTTTCTTTTTGTTACCTATAGCTAACAAGGTTATTTCTGTGGCATATTGCTAACGTTGTTATAACCGTGTTAATTATAATTCCAAATAAAATATACTTAAATAAAATATACCTTCCAACAGATTTTTCAAAACTCTGGTGTAATTGAGTTCGAACTTTTGTTGACGCAAACAATTAGCAGCGAGTTCTTGATTTTCTCTTTCATAATACTTATACTAGTAACTAAACTTTTAAAAACGTATACCTAATAATGAGCTTTACAACCGAGTGAAATATTTTTAAAAAAATCTGCTTTTAAAAGAAGAATCTAACTAACTCTCTGTACTAACGGAGGTACAGATTTGCTCAGATCTTAGTAAAGATCATTAGATAAAAATCGAGAGCACACAAAAAAAATTTGCTTGGCCGAGATGTCCAATCATAAAAGTTTTATAACTTGAAATAAATAGTATTTTCGGCTTGTGCAAATGTAGCACCAATAATTACAGGACGAAATCCATTTAGCAATAAACACGAATGCCTTTTGTTAAACGTTGAAACGGAGCTACCACTCATTAGCTTCCATAAAACACAATCATTGCACCCGGGACTGGTGCTTTGAGTAGTGCATCGGGAAAAATGAAATCACGTCGCGCCACTGCAACAAATTCAAGTTAATTGAATTCCAAAGTAAGCATAATTCCAGCCGGCAGCAGTTTGGCTCTAAAAGCGAGCACATACTGTACGGCAGGAGGCATGTTCCTGCAAAAAGTCGACAGTCAGTCAGTCGAGTGAAGTGAAGGGGTAGGCATTTAAACTAAATTTAGCCTGAAATTGCTTCCTTTTTGCTGTCGGTTGTTGGCCATTCTGCTGCCGCTGTTGCCTGACGTTTGCCACTTTGCCGACAACACAATATTCAATTACAATTGGCAGCAAAAGCAGCAGCAGCAGCAGCACAGCAGCGGCAAAAAAGAAAACGAAAGTCGAGCCTGAAACTCAAAAAGCCAACGAACGATCGAGCTGGCCAACAACCGGAGTGGATTGGCAACAGCAAACTGCAAACTGCGAACTGCAAGTTTAACTGAAACTGAAACCGAAACTGGAGCTAAGACCCAACCTGAAGCTGCAATCCGGTTTCTTAATGTTTTCAGCACTTGCAATTATTTCATGCCGCCATCGTTTAAAGTGTCGGAAATTTGGTTCGGTAATTAAATGAAAATCAACAGCGACCAACGCCTGGCCACCGAAAAAACCAGGTGTCTACAGTAGTTTTAATTTGGAAAATGGAATATACTCTTATAAAGTGGTAAGTCTTTTTGAAAAATATAAGTAAAATATACTTTTGTGTTCAACACTTCCTACGCTTTAAACTCTATTATATGTAAAGTTTTCAGACAGAAAATCTTTCTATAGTAAGTTTATAAAAAAACCTTCACAAAAAGCTCTCTTAATATAATATTAGTTAAATAGATAAGCATAAATATTCTTTTAAATTCATTTCTATGCTAATTTTACTGCAAAGCCCCTGTCGAGAACGAACGTACCCAATTAAAGCAGTGTAAGCCTTTCAGAAAAATGGTCTGTAACATGAAAAATATGAAAACTCGGTTCGTCTAGCAGCTGCCGCCAAACTAGTTCAACTTGTTGTATTCGCTTTTCGCTGGCGTAATAACAGAGGCCCAAATCACACAGTCCCAATGAGCAGACCTCTCTGCACGGTAATCAAAATACTTGTGGCCATAAAAACAACACAAAAACTGATATCAAAGAGTGAATGGGGGCCTAAAGCCAAGGAGAAACCATAACAAATCAAAGCTCTAATGAATATTGAGAGGCCACTAAAAGGAACACGCGGCAGGAGCCACAAATTAATATCGAAGAAATACCAAAATTCACATAATAATAAATGCAACTCGTCGGGGAGTTGGGCTAATAAAGGGCCAATATAAGGAGTACGGGGTGAGGAGCAACTTTTCCAACAGGATAATGAAGTGGCTGTGGGCGGGGTTAAG